GCGCGGCCCGCACGGCTCCCCCGCGGCTCCCCCGCGGCTCCCCGCCACAATGCAGCCTCAGAGCGGGCTGACAGCTGCGCGTTCTCTTCCCGTGGAAGGGCAGTGAGGAAAAATGCATGCCATCTTACATAAAATCTTCAGGAGACCCTAAAAAACACACTTTGCTCTTCTAAGCAAACACACAGCCATATGCACTGACTCCGCGGTACTGTACCAGCAAAAATATTTTCTACTTACCGTAGATAAAATAATTTTGACATTGTTAATAATCCATCATTGATGTTCAGGCATCAACCACTGCAACCAAATTCACCCTTACCTGTATAAGTTGCACTGTGTAAAAATGCTAGTTTTCCTAAAATAGTTAAGATTAACGATTTTATTTAAAGTACAAAATCAAGCCAAACAAAATTATTTATTTTGGCATTAGATTTACATAGAAACTAACTTTAGCTTCATAATAAAAATAAAAATCTAATGCACTAGAAATGTGCTTCCTCTGTGGGTTAGTAGTAGAAAAGAATGTATATCATTCTGTGTAAGGAATGAACTGAAAATTTCAGGGTTTAGAAGCCATTCATGCAAGATCTCATATCCTGAAAATTGAGTCCTATGACATCAGTGAGCAACTGTAAAAACGGCAACACAAAGGTTATACACTATGAATTTTAAATTCCTGAATAATTTACTTCAAGTTTTGGCAAAGGAAATCTAACTCTACATTTCTCCTTCATCTTAAGATTTTTTTTCTCCTTTCAAGGATAAGTGAAAATTCTGTTTGATTGAACATCCATTGTATCAGACAATTGCGCAGTCTTTATCATGTATCTTTTGTTTGCTTACTGCAGTGTCACATCATGAAAGTAGCTCATACCAGGCTCTTGCTTTTTAGTTTTGAATGTATAAACTTGAGGCATGTTTGTGTCCAAATCTGAATTGGCTGTGCTGAACAAGCACAAACCCAGGGCAAGGGTCTGAAACTGTAACAGGACGCAAACTGTCCGAGTTGCTGCCTTGAGATTAAAATCCAAGGATTTGTGGATTTCTACTAACAACTTAATAGGAAACTAAATTGCAAAGAGTAAAAGGATAGTTGTAGACCCCCTGTTTCATGTAAGAGATTACAGAGAACTTCGGTTGTGAGTCAGGAAGATTGGGCTGCAAGCAAAGCCCTCTTATGGCAGGTCTGGTGTGTTTGTAGAAGCCAAGGAACTCAGCTGGACATGCCTCCTGCAGCTGGGCAAGGTCCTCACTCAGGGCCACAAAAGAGTCCCCCATCAGGAGAACAAACAGGTCTTTCAGCTTCCAGCAAACAGTGGACAAGTGAGGATTTCTTCTTGAATCTCAAAGAGGCAAGAAAGTTGTGGGTTCAGTCTGGAATATTAATGATTTCCCCAGGTTTCTGCAAATCTGCTTAGCTTTCATTAAGCAAATAATGAAATGAAATGAAATCACTTTTCATTTATACTTTCCTATGTAGTTGTGTTCCAAACAACTTCAGTAAGGAAAAAAACCCTGCAAAAGTCAGATTAGTACTTACTTGAGGCTCTAAACCTGCCAGCTAATTTGGGGAAACATTCAGGACCAGGATTTTTGGCAGTTTTACCATCTATGAAAGAGCTGAGGCACATTTTTTCAACCCTCTTCTCTTTGTTCACGTTCATTAGTAACAACGAACCTGGGGAAAATGCTACCAGCGCCTTTGAACTGGCCTGCTTATTTTTAAGAAACTGTGAAAACAATTATTTTATGTTTTTGGGGTTTTTTTTAGAAACATTCATAGTGAAGTATTCAGATTCCTTTCCTGGTGTTTAAGGTATAAAAGTGAATCTTTTAATTTTTAACATTAAAAAATTAATTTTTTTAAATTTAATTTTAATTTTTTAACATTGCTCCCAGCAACAATCAATCTGCCATCAGCTCCAAGACACTTGGTTTCAGTTAAAAATTCCCAAAAGTCATGGAAGTGCAGTATGAGCAAGCTACTCATGGGTGACTGGGTAGCTGCTATGAAACCATGAGAATGTAAAGGCCCACTCTGAAACAAGGGGGTACTAATAGAAGAGATGCAGGAAAAGGGAAGGAAGAATATTGAATTCCTATGGCTGTTTAGTGAATCAGGGGCTCAACATACACATTGTCACAGGAAACTGAATGTGACCCAACTTTGATGAAACATCAGCTCCCAATACCCTACTAAATTAATAGCCGTTGATTGTGAACTCTCCTGTATTTAATGTGTACTAAAGGTGTGAAATCAAAATAATTTTAAATTAATTACAAACCAAACTTCTTCAAGTACAAAAAAATGTCTTCTGAGAGTAACTGTATACAACAGAATGAAAACTTTACATTCATTTTAAAAATGCTATCAATACACAATGTTACCTCAAGCAGAACAATATTAATCGACATGCTTTTTATTTTCTCCTCTAAGAAAGGAAGACAAATTCTGATTTATATAAAACACTGTGCTTGTCCACTCAAAAACATGAATGTGAGGCAAGACACTTTACAGGAAGGCACCATCATAGGAATCTATTATTATCATCTCGATTTTCTGCCTCCTGTTTCTTGCATAACTGACAACTAAGAAACTGGGAATATTTTCATGATAAAGCTAACCAGCTTTGGAATAGCACACTGAAAACCACAGCAATACAATTCTGGCAGACTGTATTTTCAGAGTTCACTCTTCACAGCCATGAGAAGCATTCTCTAGAAGGTAAATTTCTGATACAACTTCAAGATTATCCAATTAGCACACTGATTTTTTAAGATCAGCTTTTCTGAAAGCAATCTTCCTGTTGAAAGTAGTATTTGGCTCTTTAAGCATCCTCCTTTTTTCCCACTTTTTCCTCCTCATTTCAGCCATTTACTCTGTACAACCCCCCCAGTTATCTTCTTACTTATGCTGTTTTGCTGCAAGTCCACTAAATCAATAAGGTCTTTGAGAATTTTCGACTTGGTAGGCATGTTGTTTTTCAGCTCCAACAAGGATGTCAGGAATGCTTTTTGCTATCAACTTAATAATGGTTATTTTGCTCCCTTATAGCCCAAACCCTCAAAGAAACACAATGCTGGGAGACAAAACTGCACAGGCGAGAACATGAAAATCCCTGAGTGAAGGCAACATTTGCAGACACAGAACAGGAGATGTAAACACCAGGAAATACTCTTCAGTTTTACCAATGTAGCTCTTCTTTTATAGATAATAGTAACAAAATATTCCATTGATTTGGATCTTTTCTCCATAAACACAGCTGTTTTGTCATGACTTGCAAAAATTGAGAAATAAGGTCTAATATACAGAGCCTAACATTAACAGTCAATATATCATTCAAGGTTTTACCAAAGTTTGTCAGGTTTTGCCTTCTGCACTTAAATGTAGCTATTTTCAATACCTGCAGTTTCATGCAATTATATTTTTCATAAATGACTGTCTGTAGAAACCTGTTGCGGGCAAGTCAGAATATCAGTCTGAAAATACAACTGGCACCATGAAACAGTTTTGAAAAAGTTATGGCTACTTCAGTATCTGGTTCAGCTCTTCAACCCTTTTCCCCTCAACAGTTTAGTAGTATTTCTGACATTACAAACCAAGTGTAACAACAATTTCAAATTCCCAGCATATCACTTTTCAGACAAAAGAAATGAGAGGCTGAGTTCTAGAGCTAACTTTTAATGCAAGTCTTGAAAATTTGAGAAGATTCTGATATTCTTCCCTTCTCGACACATGGGATTGCATTTATTTACATGTATTTTTACCTTATGCTACATGTTCTCATTACCAGTTACCCTTCTCATTCTTAAACAACAGCATAAATGGTTTATAGTCATGACACCTGATAATAGCCTTGTTTTTCATTTATGCAAAATTAAAAAAAATTAAGCATAAATACATTTTTCTAATCTTCTGGCAAGTCAGGATTTTCTCCTCATTTATTAATAGTTGTGTCTGGCGCAGCACACCAAAGGTGCTGATACTCATGACTAATCTATTTGAAGTTCAAGTTAGCTGAGAGGAGGTAATTTTCTTCAGTTCTTCATCTGATTCTTACTCATCCCAGGTATCTCCATATTTATTTACTTTAACTAAAGAAAACAAAAGAAAAAACAAAAGTAGTCATGTGATAGTTTAACTGCTGAAGTTTATCATAGACGGTGCCAAGAAGTATAATGAAGTGCACTGTCATCTGAAGTGGTATGTGGGGAGAGAGTCAGTCACAGCACAACAGACATGTAATTAAAGCTACTTTTGAATAAATGGGGAGAAGAGTTTACTAATCACTTTACCTTAATGAATTAATATTCAATCAGGAGGCCTACTGTGCTAATTCCTGCTCTACAGAATTTGTAATTACTTTGAAACAAATATAAAGCGTGGATGAAAAAAAGACAATTGGAGGAAACAGGCAAGGAATGTTACAATAAATAATGAGGCTACATAATCTGGTTACATGCACAGTTGGATGGATTCAGGATAGTTAAAAACACATTCAAAGACAAACAAACAGAAATCAGTAATCCCTACTAGGAAACTACTCAGCCATTATTATTTGGCAGCTTCCTTTAGCATAGGATTGAGTCAGAGAAAAAAAAAACAGGGTAGTGGTCTAACGGCTTTGTTCAGAAGTGTGCCACTCTAACTGAACAACAACCAGAAAGTGAAAACAGGCTCTCTTGAAAGTGAGTCGCAAAGTCCTCTGTAATTGACTGCCATGACTGAAAACGTTAGGGATGGCTCCTTTTGATCCAGTAGGAATGCTGACACTAATCAGGCACCCCTTTATAAATCCACTTGCAAGTTAATTATTAAGCTCACTGTTTATTATTAACTACGCAGCAGAACAAGTGGAATAAAGCAAAATGCCTGGTCCTTGTTTCTGTGAGCTACCAGCAAACTGAGCATAATGCCCTGACAAATCTCTTTGGAGATATTGCAGCGAGACACAATGAGAAGCTCTCTCAAAGTACGATTTGATCTCCATTTCTATTATCCATGGCAGCAGAACAGGCTGCACTCATTCCCTGGAAAATGGGCCAGTCTAGATCACTATGCAGATGCACGCATTTGTGCCGCTGCAGGGAAGGGAGAAGGCAACGGCAGATGGAAGTTTGGGATTGCATAAAGCTTGTTCAAACATGGTTTGGTTTCCCTTCTTTCTTTGTAAGGGAGGGCAGAAATCACTGTCTCCTATATGCTAGGGACCCAGTGATAAGAGGATGAACCAAGGGGTAGTTACTCAGAAAGCATGAACCAGCACACAGCAAGTAACATGTCCAGTTTGACACAAGGAGCTAAATCAGATCTTAGCCCACAACATCAGTGTAATCCCTGAACTGCAGATTTAAATGTACTCGCATGTGTAAACCATTCCTAAATTTTTGAATTCACTCATTACTCTTTTTCCCTAAAAATGTGAAGAGATACTTTAGAAAGTCTATTTACAAATCTCAGGCACCGCTCAGTTTTATTCTCAAAGCCCAAGTACAGCCTTCAAATGGAACACAGAAATATAAGGAAATAAAAGGAAAATAATGCAATATTTTATCAACATTTTATAGAGGTCTTTTATATACCTCAAGTAACTAAAAATAAATTAAGAAATGCACATTCTCATTTCACATCCATATTTGCCACAGAGTATGGCAAGGTTTTCAGAAAGCTGCTTAATGCACAGTTTGCAAGCGACATTTCTAGGCTTTCTATTTGTGGAGAAGTATCTTGAAAAAGAAACACTGTGTAAATCCATGAAGTGTCAGCCAATGGAATTTAAAAGCAATCTGAAACCACAGCTTCAGTAATTTTTTCATGTCTCATTTGGCACAGTCACATAAGAGAAAGCTTTTATCTATTATTTCAAGGATAAAATATCATTACACAAAAATTGTTTATAATTTTTCTTTCAAGACTGAAGATCTGTCCAAAGATAGATGATCTACAGAAAGTAATTCACAAGCATCAAAGAGACTGACACTCTTAAGCAACTCTGTTCCAAAGCTTAGTGTCACTGCTTCAGAACGTTTTGCTTTAATACACTCTTCTATACTTATTACCACTCATTAAGCCTAATAGGAGACAACTTTAGGAAGCTAACTTCCTAAAAGTCTTGTTGCAACATGGCTGACAAGACTGGGCAGTGCACACAAACCCAAACAATTCACCCAAGGTGACTTGTCCATCAGTGTGTTAAATGGTAAAATATTCCTCTTGCTACAATTGTTTTTACAGATGCCACATTAAATTTAAGTTCTACAGCAAGCAATTATTAATTGCTTCTGTGTCTCATTTTCAAAAAATTGATTTGAGTCAAGAAGTTGTCTGCATGGCATCTTGCTCTTCGGGACATTGCATTCTTATTTTGCTCTGTAAAGTTTTCTTTTTCACTGTGAAAACAAATCTCAATATTGCTGCCAAATACTGTTTCCTTCCTCTGGGTTTTAATGTAGAAAATGAACCTCTACAAACAATGCCTCTATAGAAATCCACTAATTCCACATGAAACTACTCATAAAAATAAATACCCTCCCCTTTAAACCATCAACCATGTGCTCTATTTTGAGAGAACAATGCTATCTCAAACACACTCCCCCCTCCCATAGCTCTTTGGTATAGCTCTGAGCTCAGAGAATTCTTTGTTGAAAGAGGTTGCTCAATATACTCAATGAAGCAAAACTTATGAGCTTTTCAGTCTGGCACCAATCAATATGGCTAGAGAAAAGGAGTTACAGTTTTCTATTGGATGATTAAAACGTTCAAAAAAATAAATAATATGAAACAGGAAACTACAGACCGTATGTATCACATATGGGATACCTGCAGATACTCTAATTAGAAATTGCTTAAAAGGTATGCAGAATTAAGCTTTGTGTTTGCAACCATTTTTAACATTATGGCAAATATCTGAATTTCACAAGTGTTTCTGTAAATCGGTATATTACCTTCCTTAGCTGGTTTTTCCTGTGGAAACTTGCTTGGAGTTTCTGCCTTTGGTGGTTGCATTACTTCATATGTCTGTCTGTGTTTATTCCTTAATTCCTCATATGTGATGCCTTTTTTTTTACGAGTTTCTTCTGGAACTGGAGCAGGTTCTGAAAGCAAAACAAAGAGAAAAATACTAAATGTGACATAACACACCAAAATTTGGCTTCAACATGTTCTAGAATACCAGTCAACTACTGTTCAATCCCAAATTAAAAGAAGTATGACAACTGCAATTCTAAGTACAACAGTGAATGTATATGGTCTTCAAATAATACATTGCTTTTATCCTTTTAATTTCGTCAAACTGCTTTGAAACACTGGCTGTTAATTAATTTTCTTCATGTTACCATAAGAAATTCTACCATGTTGTACTTGATGGATAAAATAGCTCTTGTCACTTTATCTAAAATTTACAATAGTTATACATTTGAGATAGATAGGATTTCTGAAGAGAAATCTAAGTGAAGCTCAAGGGTTTGCATTAAGGCTTTTAAATTTTGCTTTCAAATAATTAGGACAATATCATATGATGCCTGATAAACATTTAATCATTTTATCTATATTTATAATGCAGAATCTTGGTTGAATAATAAAGCTTTTACCAACTACTGATAATTTTGATAAAATGCCATAATAATTTTCTTGACACATTTATATCTGATACTTTCATGTAGTTATAACCAAGTTGCATGAAAGGGCTTTTTTAGTGAAACAAAACATCTTTTCTAAGTTGAAAAAATCCAAACTAATTCAAAGTACAAAACCCTGTATTTGATAGTAACTTCCTCCTTTGTGTACCAGAGACACATGAATTCAGAATCCTGTATTTCCCCTGCAATAACTGAGAACAGTTCATACTGGAAGGAGGGGAACAGCTGCATGGTATTTGAAAACCATTTTAGTTCTCTGTGAGAAAATCAGATGGTTGGTGGATAGAACACAATATCCATTTTGTTCCCAGGAGACATATATGTCTGTTACATTGTTGTGAAAAAAAAATTTAAAAAGTTTAATGTCAGTTACAGCAGTATCCAGTTACAGCTCCAGGGAAGGTGGAACTTCAATCACCTTGGAAGGGCCAGCAGGCAATTGGTAGGCTGTGGTTTATTCAGTACAGTGAAGTGATGGCATATTCCCCCTTCTTTCAGTCAAAAAGAACTTTCTGTCTGACTGAGTTTTTTGCAGATTCCACAACAGATTGCACCTTGCAAGTTAATTCAAGATCTTTACTTGCAATTAAAGCGATTTTCAGCTAGAAAACCCTGAATCTAGTCTACAGTTAGAATACAAAATCTATATTCATCTACTGTGTAAAAACAATTCTTGTATTTTTTCAGCTCTTTCATTCAAAACCACTATATTGTGCCATGTGTGTTTGCATAAGGTGAGAATACATAGTTTAGTAAGAGTGGTATCTAAAAGAAAGGCAAAAGTCTTTGCAGTACAAACTGTTAAATATCAAGACTTACCTTGAATGGTGTAATCAGTAATTCCTGTAGGTGAAGATTCATTCAGAGAAGCACTGAATGGAATAGGTTCATAACTTGAGAGGGCTCTATCTGTTGAGCTGTAATCATCTGAATAGCTAGAAGAAGGTGGGAATCCACTTCTTGGAGAAGATGACTCAAATGACTGAGAAGGTGTGTCTGAAAATTCAGATTTACGACTGGAACGGCTGGAAAAGAATAGAACTAAATATTAAATATGAAAATACTGAAGTTAAAAATGGAACTATAAGAGTAACAATACTTGCAATTCAAGAAAATGTTCTTTCATTTTAGTTTAGTTTCCAACTGAATCATCATCTTAAAAAATTTTGAGGATGTTTTCGGTGTTTTCTTTACCTTGCAAAAATTTCTACAGTCTCTTCCCCAGCATTCTTCCCTTCCTCACAAAATCTAAGCTCATATCCCCAGAATAGGAGGGAAAAGAGACAAAACATATTGCACTTTACAATAACTGAAGTTATAATCCTTTTTCCCAAGGAATCTTAAGACAAAAAAACCCCACATCAGACACAAATAGTACACGGTGTGCCCATGTACCTTGTAGGTAGTATGAGCTACAGTTATTTTTAAAAACATTTTAGGAAGAATTTGGTATTTAAAACCCTTCATCATTAAAAGCTGCTGTAATTGATCAGGACTGAACAGCAGGAGAACAAACAGCTATCTTGGGAAAATTAAATTATGAAAATTAAGCAAGTTGCTGAATTCTGCAAAAATATTAATGAATTTTCTCTTGAGAAAGAAAGGTAATATCATATAAAGAATAATCTTGAAATTTGTGCCAGATACTTTAAAGTATTCACTGTATTCTTAGAGTGGCCTTGCAAGCCACTACACAACATATCCCTTCATCAGGAATGCCACCACTTTGTGCCATTAGAACATCTCTAGAATATTTTATTAAGTTTTTACTTTTAATTTCTGCTTAGCTGTACTTTTAATTTCCTATGAAAAATATTTGCAATTACTCTTTATTTACTTTTCATAATAAACATACAGAAAAAAAGCCATTTTATTGACTCAATTATGTTTTTAAAATATATGCAAACACATTTTTAAAAAACTAATGAATCTTTTAGCTCCCTATGAGTTTTTAACTGCAAATCGAATTACCAAAATACATTAATTAGCAGACATACAATGCCCAGGAAAGTATAATGATTTCTGTTGCTGGGTTAAAAGCATAGCATGTATGGATAATAATGCAATTTAAATGAATTCAAATTATTTATTCAACCAAGGAAAAGGAATTTATCACTTAGGAAATAAAACTTTACAGATACAAATGGGCCATTAACGGTTGAAGGAATTTATTGGTGTGGCAGATGATGATACTTAAACAAGTTCTCATGTAAACACAATTAATGAGCATGACAATTTCATATTAGAAACTGGAGGGGGGTGAAGGGACAAGTCCAACTCAAATTCAGTTGATTCTATACAGCAAGTGTATGAAGTGGTAATGCCTGAAATTGTTTGATGTCATAAAACCATAAACATTTCAGAATAAAGGTAAATCTTGCAGACAAAATAAAAACTCTCATAAATTTGAATTTATAGTGTAATTAACAATTTAAGCAAATCCTTTATAAACATTTAACAAATCTCAGCACATACACAGGAGGACTACTACTCACTATCCAAACACTATTCTCCCAGTTTTGAATCAAGGGTTTAAGTGACATATTCTGAAAGCAGCTTGCATTAAAAACCAGTTGAAGTAGAAAGCATTCTGGAAGAAAACAGGAAATAGTTTTAAGAACCTGATGAGTTTCTCATATGTACAGCATAATGCTGTTACAGATGTAAAGGATTTAAACAAACAGCACTTAGTTTGACCACCGTGCTTCTTCCTGCACTGATATTGTTTACTGAGCTCTTTCCTTTGATAAACACTGAAATCATTTCCACCCTTTTCCTACTTCAATCAAACTAAACTATGGGAAAGACTTCCAGAATGTAACACTATTTTATTTAAGTTAATATAGTTTACTTCTAAACTGGAACAACAACTTGTGCTGTAAGTAAATTTAATGGGAAATGTTCTTAATTTTACAAGGAATACAGTTTGCTAAGTAAAATATTTATTTTCTACTTCTCAGACTGATCAGTTGTATGTAAAGCACTCAAAATATGTATTTTATAGCTTGGCAACTGATACGAATACAGATTCCTGAAAGCGGTAAATTTGAGGTAATAGGGAATGAGGGAAGTTGCAGCTCTGAAGGTGTTGGAAAGCTGCAAAAGTAGTATTGACCTGTTAGTGTTTAAAATACCCTATTCAGAATATGTTTTAAATTTAAAAGACACTTAAATTCTTACTTAGGTGAACTATGTCTCTGAGCTTGTCGTAGAACATCTCCTATTGGGGAATCCTTCAGTTTCTTAAATTTCTCGGTACAGATTGGCAAGTAGGATATCTTTCCAGCCAGGTATCCACACATTCCAGCAACTTTTTAAAAAGAAAAAGAGATGCATTTACATGCTGTACTATGATATTCAACATTGTTTTAAAATAATAATTTCAAATAGATCATGTAGTATCTTGAATAAAAGAAAGAAAACCAGTTTAGATCTAAACCAAAACCACACAGTAATCATCTCTGCTTCTTCTGCAGACAAAGGGTACTAAAACCAAATGCAACAGCTGAACAGAGACATGAAGTAATGATTTAGACATGGTGTAAGTATCAGATGATTTCAGCTAGTACTTGGTGAATGAAAGGTGACAAAAAAATAAAAAAAAGGAAAAAGAATTGCATTGTTTTTTCCCAAGATCTAGAAATCACAATGAACTATCAAAGATAAACCAATCAAAAATAAATACAGGCAGTAAATTCTTCTAATTTAATCCATCTGAACAGTCAGATCCTGAAAAGGCTTTACTAGTATGAAGAGAGGTCTAAACCAACTTAGTAGGCTCAGTATCTTCTATAAAGAATTCCGTGATTTGGCTGCCAGAGGGCAAAAAACTGAATTAGCTGAACCCTTGTAATCACTAAGCAAACAGCTTCAATTTAGTGCATGAGCTACTTCCATCTGCTGCAAAGGACATAAGGATAAATTACCAAGATAGCTCTTTCTGGGCCTAAAACTTATAATTTCCATTAACTGGCTCCAAGTTTTATGAGTGGGCTAGTGGTGTATGAAGGATTCAGTGGGAGTTAACAGTTGTTTTCTTGTTGACTTTGTGGGAGAAAATTACTGGACCCTTTTTTCATGTGCAATGAGAATTTACTAAATATAAAGAATCTCAATTACCTCTAAGTCAGGAAAGAGTTAATTATCAGTAATGTTAATCCTCTGCAATTCTCAATGTAATCTCTAGATTACATTGCCTGGGAATCAATTCGTAGGGGATTTTACCCTAGCCTGCTGTACTGAAATTGTGATTCCTGTTCTAATGTCTTGTTTTCTAAAGAAGAGTAATAAACCTTTTCCATGGGAATAGAGAAGAAGAGCCACAATTATGAGTGAAGTTTACAAATGAGGAATGTAACGGTTTAGTTGTTAAACCGGTAAAAAAAAAAAATCAAACACCTCATATACAATAAATATGTGCAAAGAGAAAAATTACAAGCCCTTAGACTGGCCTAAGAAGAATTCAAACTAAATATTTAGCAAAATAAAGCTTAACAGAAAAGCTGGTAACTCTTTCGCACAAATTACAAAGAGAAAGTCTCTTTTCCTTGAGGCCTTCTACTAAGAAAAGGGGAAGTATCTCTCTGGAACGCATTTCACTCAAAGTAATCATTGGTCAAAGTATTTGGTTTGTTTTATTACAGAACTAACAGCCAGATGATCCACATTTTTGAACTTAGCACAATAAATTAGGTATTGTCCTTTGCTTCTACATTAACTGTGACAAGATCTTAGAGAAGCTGATTAGACATGACCAGGTTCTATTGCAGACTAATCTAAAGTACAGGCACAGGAATCTTCCCCTTCTTTGTCAAAGACAGAGAGGATCAGTAGCTCTCTGCTGTGTTGAAGGGGATGCTGTCAATGCATGTGAATCAGCCATGACTAACTAGAAGTTCAGTAAATTGTCAAGGGTACCTAGAAAACCACTGAGAAAAGTATAGTTTTCCTGCAGGCAGAACACCCTAACCAGCCCAGCTGCACCTTATTTCTTCCCCTGATTTCAATAAATTAGTTCTATTAAATAAGAAGAATGTGGCCCTTATGTGCAGGAGTGACTGAGGAAATAGCAGTTCTATTATTTATTAAAAATGTTTGTGTTATACCATTGTTTGGTGTTCAAAGAAAGTAACCACAATTTATCATAAACAACTATAGCCCTAGTCTCTCACATTCATTTATCTGCTTAAACAACACTTCCTTGACCACAAATCATGGGGTTTACCCTCTTCCCACTGAAGTAAACTGGCTGTATCTGGACAGATTGGCAAGATGGCAACTTCCTGTTTTACTGTCCTGTATTACATTGAAAAGGTTAATTTATTAAGTTAATAATTTATTTTTGATTATACTTAATCCAAAAATCATTCACATGAAATTGGTTTTTTCCTACAATTGTACATACATAATGTCCAGGAAAAAAAAAAAAAAAGTAATTAAAATAGCCTGAATGGGACACGTGAGATACATGAATAAAGACCTTCAAATTAGGAAGGGAGGGGTGGGTGTATTCTGGCAATGTAATTTAAAGTAAGGTTGCACGGTCTCTATTTACAATGTTTTTATCTTAAATGATTATGTTACATTTATCAAGCAATTTTATACAAACCTCATAAACAAAACAAAAGTTGTCCAAAATATGCAGTACAAATTCAGACAGTGAATAAATCACTGAATCATAAAATGGCTTGGTTTGCAAAGGGACCTTAAAGATTATCTAGTTCAAACCCTGCTGCCATGAGGAGGGACACCCCACACTAAACCTGGTTGCTCAGGGCCTCATCCAACCTGGCCTTGGAAGGAGGAATGAGGTACCCACAACTGCTCTGGGCAACCTGTCCAGTGCTTCACCACCCTCAGTAAAGGATTTCTTTCTAACATTTAATCTAAATCTCTCCTGTTTTAGTTTAAAACCATTGGTCACAGTGGGCATTAGGAAAAGGTTCAGAAAAAGAACGTACCCCATGAATACAAGCTGAATTTATACATAGCTTTTACTTACATGCTACTTTAATAAAAGAGCCAAGTCTTGAGCTATCTCTTAGAACACCTGAAAATGAGGATGAAATCAGACATTAAGATATGATATTACATAAAATATATGTAATCAGTTATTAAGAATTAAGTTGAAAAACCTCAACTGTAGTTATGTTTGTACAAGTAAGTTACTCTTTTACACTTCACATTAAAGAAAACTTAAAAAATTCCTAATATCTGAATTTCCCATGAAATTTAAAAAATCTAGGAATTATCTCCTTAATCATATTTAATCACAGGGTTATTTGTTTTATAATCAGTGAGATATTGCACTTTTCACACAACATCAAACACACATGAACTTGATTTTAAATTCAGCTCCTCCTTTATGTTGAGAAACTCCAAATCATGTAGCTGCAGTTTGAACTTCTTTTAGTTACAAGTAGATTTGACATGATATTATCATAATAACTTTCGTAACAGCAGAACTCAACTGAGCAAATTGAAATGAAACGGAAGTAGTTTTACACTTTACCTTTTCTAATTAAGAAACTAGTACCAAGCATGCTCACTGCAGCCAGAGGAAAAGCTGTGAAGAAGAAAAAAGCTGCTTAAAATCCAAATTTTAATATTTTCAATTACATTTAACAAATATGCAATAAAATAAGAGTGTTCTTAAGGTAATTTGTATAATATAAAGATATATATAAAACTGACAAACTGTATATACATTATCAAACATTGTCAATTCCAGTTTTTAAGACATACTACAAATTATGAGTCATCCTGCCTGCATTCTATTTCATGCTTCCTAAAATACAAAAGCCAGTGTCAGATGGAATACAGCTCTTCAGACTAGACTCCAGGTCTAGCTATAACTCCTACAGCATCAAGGTACAGAACTTTAAGCTAGAGAGGCATACACAATTCGTCCTAACAGGAGGAAGTTGTACAGAGGCTAGTGCCACTAAAAATTGTTGATAATCAAAATCTGATGTTTTAATGTAAGAACTTTGGAAAAAGTTTAACTCTTACAGAGCTATAAATCAGATTGATTAAAATTAGGCAATGTTTTATTCGCCAGCAAATTAAAAAACAAGACAGCTTTTTCTGTAGTTTACCAATCACATTATACAACCTGCTTAGGGTCAGGAATGCAGACAAAACAACATTCTGGAAGGCCATCACTGCCTACAACAACCAGCCTAATAGTTTATGTCTATTTTCATTATATTGAAAGACTTTATGTGGCAAGAAGCATTTGGAGATTGCAAAAAACAAAATTAATGCTTCTTTCAAGCAATGATAATTACATAAGATTATGGTGCAACTATTCATAAAGACCACCACCCCTGCACAAGATACAGGGACAATGAAGTAACAAACACGACACAAGTCTAAAGTTATTTATATTAAAGATTTAGATGTGCCATAATGAAATTTAATTTCATGCAAGGATAAAAATGTAGTTATTACAAAAAGGCTGAATGACTTCCAGGAGAGAAATTTTTACAACAGCACTAGATGGTTGAAGTATTTTGATGCACACTATTTGCTAATTAAGTTCATATTTGAAGAGAAATTATATTATTGGAAAGCAAAGTATTAAAGAATACTTTGCAAATTAACAGCTAATTCCCTCACAAATTCTGACAGGTCGAAACTAGGTAAACAGTCCAACCAGTATCTCCGGGTAAATGCAACTGGATGTCACATTTAAGAAGAAATTCTGGCTCTTTGGTTCAAAGTAAGATTACAGCAAAACTTCAGAATAGAGAATAAAACCTAACAACCTACTAGATATTAAAAACCTGATGCTTTTAGAGATTCCAGACCTAGATTTTCCAAAATTTACCATTCTAGATTTTCTGAGATATAAAACGACAGCATAGATTTTAAATTAAATTGTAAAAGAAAAACAAAACAAAAGACAAAACAAAACAAAAAACCAACAAAAAACCCCCAACAAAACAAGGGAAGGGAGGGTGTGTAAAGAAAAATACATTCAAAAATTATTACAGAGGATTTCTGTCTAACCATTAGAAGTTTGAAATGATTTATAGAGCTAACATAAAACACTCCAGATACCAAAACCAGGCTACATTAGTATGTGAGCATATAAGTGACCTGAAATGGTAACTAAAAATTAAAAAAATAAATATATATATATATAAAAAATAATGAATGAAATTCAGCTAAATGAAAATTGGATTAATTCCTAAAAATTAATATGAATTATTCAACTGTAGAAAAAAAAAAACCAAAACAACAAAACAAACTTAATAAATCAGAAAACATCAATGCTATGAGCAAAGAGTACTTTTTCTGCTTCAGGAACAAAATACATCTAGAGAAAATAATGGAAGGTTGATATATCAACAGAACATAAGGATGGTAATATAATGTACCCAAGTCAAAATTGCTTCATGGGAAAAATGTTGGATCAGCATGATTTGATTTTGTTAGCAAGACTAGAAGTGTGAAGGATAAAGTTGAAGGCTGTAGTGTGAATTTTTAAGAGCGTAAGAATTTAGACAATAATGTGATTACAAATTAGTCACTCCAGTAAAGCATATATTAAACTGAATTGTGAAATGACTAGTGGCAGAAACTGTTAAGGGAAACTATGTCAAAACCCAGATGGTTTGTAAGAATGAGTAAAATTTGCTACAGCTTGAAATTTGAATAAACAAACTGAAAATACACAGATTTATAGTAACTTCAGTGAATACCAAAAACTGACACAATACAAAGTGAGGAGTTCAGGGCAGTCACACAAGCAGCCTTTTGGAAAGGGGAGTTCAAGCAATATGTATTTAATACAGTGAATACAACAGTCTAGATGTGTATGCTGAACAGGAAAACAAAGATGGGAGACCTAGAAAACAGTGATGGACTTTAGGCCCTCCCAGTGAGATAACAGTGCAGTATTCAACTCCTGGAAAAAAAAGTCTGTCACTGTTGTAGCTCCCTAAACAGAAACAACTCAATAAACTAACTTAGGGCTTTCAAGTAATTCCTACATGTTGTTTCTTCAGTGACTATATAAAGATGCATAGGGCAATGAACTACATTGCCAAGCAGCAGAACAGCTCAGGAACAAACAACTCTCTCTCCTCTTTGTCTTCCAGAAGAGAGATTATCAATAAACCATAACCAATCATCATTGTAGCACTAATGGACCTGCCTCTTTAATTTACAAAATTATATAGAAAATGGCTACATTTTAGCAAATATGCTGAAGACTTCCAAGTATTTGTGCAAAAGCGGATGAGGAGAATGCCAAACCAATGGAGAAAGACAAAACAGAACTTTGAATCGTTAATTCAAAATCACAATGCCTTAGGAGCTATTCCGGTAAGTACTGGCTTCCATGAGAAATCAGAGCCCCAGTGTGCTAAAATTAGAAAAAAAATTCTAAAATTCTTCATCTGTCCTGGTTTTTGCCAAGCCACCTACCAGCATCAGGAGTAACCTAGCAGTGTGTGATAAAACAGCAGTTAACAATCACAGCAGAAGGCTTGTTCAAACCTCATGACCAGGTGTACAAAAATCAAGCATGCCTTGAACTTTAGGGTAACAGAAAACATGGACACACACAGCAGTTTTCTCTTGAAGTTGAATATTGACTACTTATACACTGTTCTCTTCACAGGTCTCTATAAAGATTAAAAGCAATAGTTATAAATCCAACTATTTTATTCTTGCTTGCTAAAGATAACAATAAAAATTGAAAATAAAAATGCAGAAATAACACAAAAAAGAAAATCCAGTAATATAAATGAGATTCATTAATTATATCTATCTTCAGACTTTTAATAAGCACATTAACTTAAAATATGAAGAGATCTTTTTGTAAGGCACAAAACTTAGAAATTATGTCACACCTTTTACAAAACTGCTGCAAACTCTTAGTAAATATTACATGGATCAGCATTTGCTGGGACACAATTTTAGTACATGTGAAGCTTGTTAATGAACTGTTGTGCTATATTGACCCAGGCCCTCTGTAATGCCTCAGGTAACAGAAAAAGCTAAGGGTGGAAGGAAAGCAACCACATTTAGCAGCAAAGTTAACTTACCTCTATATGTGAAACTCTCTTCAGCACATTCCTTGAGTAGTCTTCTTTCCTCCTCTGTCGGAACATAAGGCTTAGGTACTTCCCTCTTTCATCAGGGAAACAGATTAGAAAAGAACAGACAAAAGAACAGTTTGGGGCCATTTTTCAAAATCAAAAAATGTAATGCTAACTTTCACACCTTGTAGTTTCTATACTTTCACCCAGCTATACTTAAGAAACCAGTGCCTCTTGTCCATAAATATCACATGAAATATACCATTAAAAAAATCCAATGCTTCTAAAAACTACGTGAAAGAGCAGGAAATACTTTGTAGATGGTCAGATCCAAACTCATCTCAGCTCTGCTACTTCAGAAAAGCCTGCTTTGGTCCCTCCAACCAGCCTTCCAAATAGCTGACATCTGACAGATCATTAAGTGCCTTTTTGAAGTATTTCTCAGGGTTTCGAAGACAACAGGGTGTGTTGCTGGTTCACACAGATATAATACAGCGAGAGCTGACCAGCTGTTTCGCCAGCGTGTGAGGTTTGTGCAGAGGTGCTGAGCCTGTCCCACCGTGAGAGCTGTGCCGCCAGGCACGCTGCCAGACACGGGCAGGAGAAGCACAGCTGTGAGAAGGCTATCGGCACTAGGGGAACAGAGAATCAGAGTCAATTGGGTTGGAAAAGACTTCTGAGGTCATCTAGGATCGAACACCACTTTGTCAACCGGACAGTGGCACCAAGTGCCATGTTCAGTCCTTCCTTAAACACCGCTAGGGACGGTGACTCCAGAATCTCTCTTAGCAGTCCATTCCAATATCTAATGACCCTTCCTGTGAAGAAATTTCGTCTAATGTCTAATCTACACCTCCCCTGGTGCAGTTTAATACTATGCTCTCTTGCTCTATCGCTTGTCGCCTGTGAGAAAAGGCCGATCCCTACCTGCTAACAACCCCCCTTCAGTTACTATCACAGTTGTAGACGGTGATAAGGCATCCCTGAGCCTCCTTTACTCCACGATAAACAGCTCCCACAGCCACTCCTCATAAGATTTGTACAGACGCCTCAAGAGCTCCGTTGCCCTTCTCTGGACATGCTCCAGCACTTCAGTGCCCTTCCTGAATTGAGGAGCCCAAATCTGAACGCAATACTTGAGGTGTGGCCTGACCAGTGCCAAGTACGGGTGGATGGCGACTTCCCTGTTCCTGCAGGCCACGATATTCCTGATACAGGCCAGGATGCCACTGGTACAGAGCACATCGACGGCTCACGGTCAGACGTGAACACCTCCTTAGCTCCTGCCAGGACCACCCCGCCCGGCCCCGGAGAGGCCTCAAGGGCACCGGTCCCGCGGGGAGCTCAGGGCAGGAGCGGCCAAGCGGCTGTCAGGAATCCCCTTTCCCCTGCCCGAGCCCGCCGCCTCGCTGCCCCCAGCCCCGCCAGGTTTCCCCGCGGCAGCGACACCGAACCAGCGCAGTTACCTCGGCCGCGTCGCCGCCGNGTAGTTTCTTAAGAAGTACTTCCTCACCGTGTCATTTCCTCAGTAGGCTGTTTCAGTTGCTTTGCTTCTGTGTTGTTACTGTCATGTGGAGGATATGTGCCGAATACTTCAGAATCTTTGTGGAAGATCTTTGACCAAGTGCTTTAAAACCACACTGATTCGTATCTTGTGGCACTGTCTCAGAAAGGAAGCAAACCCCTACGTAAAAAATGTGTTGCATGTTTAGTAAGTCACGTATTTAAAGATGAGAACAACATTTTCAGTGTCAAAAGCTTCCTCTATCTGTGGTTTGTAGAGGTTTTTAGTGGTATTTGGTGGTGGTTGTTGCCAGTAGACAACCAACTTCCCTGAGCAAATTGCTGCTGTGAATGAGTCCTTATTTATATTCCAAAATTGATTTGGTTAAAGTCTGTGCTGACTTCTGTGGAAGTGGTTTCCTTGGAGCAGAGTGATTGTATGTTGCTTTTAGGATGTTGTAGACCGTTGTTGATGAGCTTCATTTCAAAAGAAAAGTTGTTTAATTCTTCTGTGAGGTTAGTTAAGGTAAAGTTGGAAAATTCAACTAATTCTGTTTCTGTTTGAATGGCCTAAGTGAACCAAATCATGGTGATACCTGGTTTTTGTGTAATCGCATAATTCTTTTAAGAAGGGCAGTTATAGGTTGTAGAGGCTAAGGCAAAAAGTAGAACTCTTCATTTTTCATGTTACTGTATTAACACTTTGCAGAGTCATTCTCCTAGTCTTCAACAGCTCAAGAGTGGTCCTCATATGTTTATTTCACTGGGAATGCTTGTCTTTCTAATTTAGGGTGATAAAATTAATTGGTATGCTGAAAGTTTTTGCTAATATAGTTGAGATCATGCTGTCTGTATTTACTTTTTCTAAGAACTTAAGAAGATTATAATTCCCTTCGGTGGCTATGCATCAAGGAAAACAACTGGGAAAACAGTGTGTTCTACATCAGGCAGGAGTTGCTGATTTTTCTAGCTTTGTATTTCAGGGGGTTGTGTCTTCATCATCTTGCCAGGTGAAGACACCTTTATTATTGTATAAGGGACCAAAGGACAAGTTTAACTTTTTTGTCTGATTTCCTTAAGAGACATGAAGGCAAACTTTTCACTTCAGTGGACTTGCATAATACAGAATATGGGTGTATAATTTGCTTCTTTCAGCTTAGAATGTCATGAGTTTTTTAGCAGTTTTTGCCCACATTTAGGCTTTAGTTTAAAAGAAGCTATAGGTGTTGTGCAGATAATGTCAGAGGAAGGAGCTATATGCACATGTGAGTTGCTGTGAGAAAAATGAGGATAATATTTCAGGGTTTGTGACCCTGTACCTGTTACTGGTCTGCCTTACCAGTAGAAAATGCGGGGTAGCTCATCATCAGTGGGAGGGCAGCTGGCCTAGCCCACAGCCTGGCTGTGGTTTGCTGCTTTGTGCAGCTTCTGCACACTCGCACCCAAACAGCTTTGAACCCTTACAACTTTTGTATCTGTAATAATCCTCCCAGGAATCACAGTGGTCTGGAGAAGTGTTGCAATGGTAGGAGGTTTTAGAATTCAGCATTATTCTTGTCTGGTCTTGCTCTAAGTCCTGATGAACTTCAGTAATAGATGTTGGCCAGACTGACTCAGCTAGGGTTGCTTCTGCCTTTCTGTATTGACTAAAAGAGCAGTTCTTTCTGGTATTTAGCTTGCTTATCCTCAGTGCTGGACAGTTAATTGTCTGAGTATCTGTGTACTGCCATATAGCTCTGTCTCTAAGACTTGTGTTGTCCTTCCTTTCCTTCCTTCCCCTCCCCCAAGTCTATTATAATCCTAATTCCCTCTGACATGAGCACCTCCCAGGAAGAATGACAGAATACAGTCTCAAACAGCAAGTGTCCAATACCATCACTGGAAGATATCAGAGGAAAAAAATCCCCTCAATCTAGCTGAACAACAGTGTTTGCTCTGGACATGGCTTCAGTTTTGAGGGATTTTTGTATTTATCCCTAGTTTTTCCTGATGATTTTTTTGCATGCAAAAGTAGAAGAGGAACAAGTATTAAAAACAAAACCAAACTTCTGAAGTTGAGTTTGAAGTTCTCTGAAATGTTTAAATATTTGATCTGGTACAAGGATCTGGTGCCCTGACGCTGTTGCTGTAAGCTTTGGGGTTTTATTGGTTTGTTCTTTACATAGGTATTCTTGCCCTTGTCACAAGAAGCAACATGAATTGTTTTTTGTGGTTAGTGACAATAGTCAAAGCTGAGCTGCATGGAGTTTGCATAGACCTTGGTACAGGAGGACCTTTCTTCCATCATTCCAGCTGCTGCTTTGGCAGCTGGTCCATACAGGTGTAAGAGAACTTTACTTTTCAAGAGCTGGGGCTGGCCT